CCATTTACGGCATGGAGATCTCGAGATGGTCATTCGAGGGCGCGATGTCGCACGCGACGCCCAGCATCGCGGCGAATTACGATTGTCCTGCGAATACCTTCCATTGAACACAAAGTGCGACGGTAGCCCTGGCCTCTGGCTCCGCCCACATGGCCAGCGCGGACATTGCCTTAAACAAGGGACGCCCCCGCCACCTCTGTTTCTTCTCCATGTAATTGCTATTTTTATTTTATAAACAGCGCTGCGGAAGACGAGCAGGCGCCAAGTGTAAACGCAACCTCAAGAATTATCGCCACCGAATAGCTTGATTTCATAACACCGACACTTTTTTACACATAGACAACGTTGAACACGAGGCAGTCACTATAGAATTCTTCAGAACACTGGGTAATGTAAGAAACACATAATGTTATACCGGTAATGATGAGAACCAGAACGTTATGACGAACTACTGAATAGATTCCGATCGGTCAATCGTCCATTCGTCAGTTTATGCTCGGTTGTTCAGCATGTTCAGAGCAGAGTGAGCCTGTGCAAAAGCAATGTTGATCGCTGTTGAGCTTTAGACAAGCTCGGGAATACCTGCGCTTGGACAAGTTGCTGAAGGAGAAAGAGCTGTAGATCAGACGACGGGAAGGGAAACGGTAGCTTCATTGCTGCAGGACTAACGAAGCTGAAATATGTAAGCACATTAAGCTCCAGGTAGAATACCGTAACGGCGGTCCCGAAACTTGCTGTGGAATACCAAATGCGCTTTGAAAGAGTGCTCTACGATTCTGAATGGAACTTGGATGCACGGCGCATCGCGGAAGAGGGACTAGTGAATCGTTCATTCGTAGGTCTAGGATCCACAGGGTCTACCGGGATCTATGACGTCGCTTTCATACTAGGGCACATCATCGGTCAAGGATTGGTCGAGTCCGTACGACCCCCCCTCCCTTTTTTTGGGGTTGGTACGACCCTCCCCCTCTGTCCCTCCTAATCGAATCGAGCCGTCGAGCGGGGATGAGGGGGGTCACTAGCTTATGTGACAGGAAAAACGCGAGGCAAAATCGAGCCCCTCCAGAAATGATTTTCCGTAAAAATTACCTTCGCCCACTTTTTTTAAAATTTCCTGAAAACTTCCTTACTTTTCCCAATAATGTTGCTGTCGAGTGGGAGTATATAGTACGCATGAAACAAGAAAATCACGGAAGGTCAACCACCACTCCCAGAAGGCCGCAAAGTAAATACGGTCCCCCCGCCCCTCCCACAACATGGCGAAAGAAACGGACCATCCTCTTTCAAAGGGTCCGTGAAACGAGAAAAATTAACTATCAAATAAACTTTTCTCAGCCCAAATACGACTCCCCTTCTCCTGGTGGCCAAATACAACCCCCCCCTACCCTGTTGGGGATTCCCCAACAACGAATGGTGCCCTGCATATTCTACTACACAGCCTAGCCGATACAGTCCCGAATCGCCGGGCTTTGAGGAGTCACACCTGTGAAGAGCAGCGCTACCAACCAGCTAACCACTGGACTGTGCCATAACGCTTATTCAACTCACTCTCTGAAAGCACACATGAAGTAGCACTTGCTTCATACCAACCTACAGAGTGGTGGGCAGTCTGTGGCATTATCGTTAATTCGATAACGACATGTGGTGGGACTGCCGAATGTGACCGAGGGCCACCTTCGACAAGCTGTAGTAAGATACGCATAGACTAAGTGGAGAGTGGAAGAAGGATGAGTAGAATCAGTCACAAAAAGGCACCACAAATGTACTCAACTCGCCAAGTCTAACGGAACACAGGACTCTGCAGGAGAAGTGGTTGGATGTCTGCTTAGGGGAGCACGAACAACACAAACCATTGAAGGGATAAAATCGGACGGTTGAATAATTCTTCACCGTATGAATCGGTTGGAGGTTATGGGATGGCTGGGATTTTTTTCTGTGGTCCTGCTGGGAAACCCAGAAGCTGCGACGGAAGAGCGACTGCTAGTATATCGGCGCGTGTGAAAACCATATGATCTATTAAGGGAAGACTACTCTGAAAGGGTGGAAGAGCTCTGGTGTGAGCTACTTACCATAGAAAAGATGGAACAAGCGAGGTGGCAGCGACCATAGAACTTTTGCAGAAGTCGGACTAACTCAAGAATAATGAAAACGTTTGATGGACTTACGCGTTTCTCCACGATAAATCCAGTGGTGCGGCACTATGGTCCTGACTGGAATCTTCTGCTTTCCGTTTTCCAAGGAGTGATGTGGTCATCTCTGCCTGAAGTGGAATGAAGTCAAGACGATCCGTAGCGTAAGTCTGAAACGAGAATGTACCTTTTCCGCTTCACTTGCGCCTGAATTCGATGAAGCAACATCGACGATGCCATTCGAGAGCGGCTGTATCGTCGGTGCAAGACCGACGGTTGCTGAAGTGGGCAGGCAGGCCGTCTGTAAGTACAGAATCATTTCAAGTTCCAATACGTAGGGTCGTTTTCGCTGCAGACGCTGGGAGTCTGAGGAGACTGGGTTTTGCGCGGCGGCGAGCGCATTTTCCACCTATTGTTATAGCGTGCTCGCTTCTGTAATTGGTGGAGAACAAGCTGACCGCGCCGAGACCGTGCGAAAACTACCCCCCCCCTGACACGACAGGGTACCTGTACAGTGCAGGAATAATACTGTACTCGCCCTCCGGAAAACAATCAATTTCTAGATGGTCGACTCGTGTACGGGGGTTTCTTGGAACTAAAGCGGTTTGGAAGCTGATTCCTATATGGTTCCGAACTAACTGCTCCTATAGGTAAATGGATTTAAAGTCACAGTATAGGGTGATCGTGTGGGCGTGGCCACTGTGCCTTCTCCGTCCTCTGCAAGCAGGGGGAAGCGCCATACGTGTGGTGAATATTGATTACACGCGCATGAAACAAATTTTCCTTTTTTTTACTGCGTATGGATATCCCATAGAAGGACTTCTCGAAGATCTCGTTTTACAGGGATTTTGAGGAGCTGCTCATTTTGTGATACTGGTAGCCAGGTATCACCATGACTTTAGAATACGATAGTTAGGTGGGTACAAAGAATTCAACAACTTATACAATTTCCAACAAAATGTACACTAGGCGGCGGTCTCAAGCGGCTAGATCTGAGAAAGCGAAAACCATAGAGTAACGAGATCTCACTGAATGAGAGGGCCTGGAGCATTAAAATGGGTCTTTATTACCGTACACATGCAGTCGCAGAGGGGTTTACACAAATCATTTGAGGGTTGTTGCCCTAGGGATATTTCTTTTCTATCGCACTAGTGAGTTAAGCTCCACCCCTTTTGCATTGTACTTTTTGTGGGCTCTAAAGTTCTCTCTCTCCATCATCTCCGCAGGGAGCAGTTTTGTTGACGCCGCTTTTTGCCAGCTGTCCTTGCCCAATGATGTTTCCCTTTAAGAGAATTAGTGAATTTGTCAGAGTTCTGTATTCACAAAAAGTGGTATTTTGGCAGCAGGTTACGGTAGATGAGGGATACAAAGGTAACGGAGTGCTGAATTGCGCATGTGAAGCTGAAGAAACTAGCAACCCAGCAAAACGCCTTGTCCCCCCCCCTTCCCCTCCATAGCGTCCTAGATAGATGACAAACCACAAAACAAACTAGGTAGAAGCGAACAGGGTCATGCTCTATGGCCGACGACATGACAATTTAACTAGTTATGACAAGCGATGAAGCTGTTTACCCCTCCCTCTCCCTGGACGGATGTTTAGGGTTGTATTGGAGAAAGAGCTAAGGGAGCGGGTCGCACATAGGGAAAATTTCTCTTCAAAATCTGTAGGCGGAGATTACATTTTGGCTGGTTGAGGAGGGTGGAGTTGTTATGAGGCTCCTTGGCAGGGAAGTGCACTGATAAGATTTCCGGGAAAGAAGAATTATTGTTTTTTGTCGATTCTGCCCCTAGATTCTGGTGTGTGGCCTGCCCCTACCCAGTGCCACAGCATTTGTGGTATTTCTTTTCTGCTGTTGTCGTACTGTATTCCATAACCCAGCGATGGAGTGGGCGTGGTTGCGTAATTTACTTGAATATGGCGCAGGATGTTTTACGCGGAATATTTCCACTTGACACAAGTTACCCTATCTTGTGCTGGACGAATTCATGCTTGCAACTGTTCAGAAACCGGAATGTCCTTCTAGAGGCGCAGCTGGCGCCTGTTTAAATAACCGCAGCCACGGACTCCCCGTCTTTGGAATATGGAGTGCACTTACCATGTCAGGGCACCAAATTTCACCTCAATCGGGGGAGAAGTTCTCTCACCTCCACGCTCGACGACTAAATTTTGGAAAGAAGTTGGAAATAAGGTAGGTAGGACGGTCAAGGGGTCACCCATATTTGGGGGAGGAGTATTTCCCGAAAATTTCCCACAATGCGATCGTATTCTCTGACTAGAGCGCAGCCAGAGTCTTTTTCCCCCTCACTTTTTGCGGATTCCGGGCTCAGGATCGCACCCATTGGTGGAACATCCTTCCTGAGCTGATTGCACGCCCTCGGAGTGAAAATGTATACAAGTGGATTCATGGATTCATGAAAATGAAAAGAAGTATCTAAACTAAGACAACCGAAGACAAACCGCTGCTGCCATTGTGAGTGCGGCGGCATTGATACCAACTTGGTCCCGAAAAGTCTGTGCCGCTTCGGGCATGTGCAATTTCGGATTGGTGTTAGCCGAATGGCGGTTTCTGAAAGTGAATAGCAAATGAAAGAAGTGAAAGAATGAGCTTCATGATGTCTTCGATGGCTCACCGGCTTCGTCTGCTGCTGAACTCCTTACCACATCCGGGTATCGTACACATATGCATCTCCTTAAGGTGAACAGCACTGGTATGGATCTTTAGCGCTCCTTTGTCGCAGAATGACTTGTTGCATCGCTCGCATAGAACACGTTTCTTCATTTTATTGCTGCTCAGTGGGGACTGAAAGTTTCAAGTGTAAGAAAAAGGTATCAGTGAGTTGTGTTTCCGTTTCCATATTTCGGAAATCGGAATCGGCTGTGAAAGACAAACCGCTCAAATGAAAGAGAGCAGAATTTTGGGGAGCGGTGGTACACCCAGCCGTAGACCGAAAAAAGTGGCGTTAGCCACACACACATGAATCTATGGAATTGACCTCGTGCTCAGTCACGAAACTAGTAGGGTCAACGAAGGCTTGTAGTCCTCTGAAGTGGGGTAAATGGCTACCACATACGTCTTCTCTAGCCTTCCTTTCCCTGCCGGAGGTCATAGGTCATTGTACAGAATGGTGGCAAAGTTGAGAGTGAAGCAAGTTGGCACCGAGATGAGCCCACTTCCCAACACCCACTTTCTGGGCCGTCTGCGACCTCTCAGTGAGATAATGATTAATGGTAAGGTTTGCTTGAGGACGGCGGGCGGGGGGCGCTGGTTAGTAGTGAATCCTGCTTGATGTTGCCTAGTGCTCTGTCCTCCTAGATGGTATATTCGTGGGGCATTTAAAAAAAACTGACGAACGACTATTTATTTTCTTCGAGTGCGCATATAAATTTTAGCCGATAAAACGATCGCTGTTGCTATCATGCAGAATGCGCCACGCACTTTAGTTCCATGGGGGATCGAGGCAACATTCGTCAGGCAATGATGTAATCTTGAGCCGTTCTGGAATCAACCATCATAGAGAGTTATGTGAAGTTAGGCGCAGTTTGGCTAGGTGGGGGCAGCGAATGGTACCCAGAGGGGCAGGTACAGACAATGTGAAAACCTGTAAAGTTCTGTAATCAATGTGGCTGAGTTGTACAATTTCAAAGCTTTACAGGCCTCACCAAATGGAATCGGTTAATTAACAAGAAATAGCAAAAAGAACTGGCGAATATACGAATTGCCCCTCCCAAGCCGAAAGGCGCCTAAACTTATTAGGGATTTGATCTGTGGACTACTTAAGAGGTCACTCGCTCTCTGACTCGGGGATGAATACCTCCCAATTGGGCAGGATCTGCGGGCACCACTCCTGTAAGGTGTGAGCTCGGGAGAAGTCCTTCATGACTACGGTAACCGAAAGTTTTGGGCAAAGCGACATGCTTCAGCTTCCTTTGCTTGAACGCCTACAGTATTCCTGCAATATTTTCAAAAAAATGTTTGTCGAGGTTTAATACGCCTTGGGTGTTTTGCACAAAAACTTCCACCCTACTGTAACTGCGTCTTGTGGAAAAAATATTGGGCGCCAATAACCTTGGAAAAGGCCTCCAAGGGAAACTGGCTTAGAGACATCCGAATAGGTCTACTGTTCTTGAAATTTGTCCACTTACCCCAGCTTTAGTTCTCCCCATCAATTTGGATAAAAGTCGTCGTCCTTACTACGGTAATTCTAGCTGTGCCCAAGGTGTCCTTTAAGTGCACCCCCTCCTCCCTTTCAAAGGTCATTGGCGCCAAGCATTGCTTTGTGCTCGACATTCTACTCACCTCACTCAAAATACTGGATTCAGCCGAATCTGGCCGTGAGAGCGCTTCAGTGACGGTCCGTTGGATCGGAGACGTGGAACAGGCCGTTACTTCTACTGTAGGACTTCTGCCACTCGCTGTGTCCTCGGTTACTTCTGTCCTCACGGACACATCCTCCTCTGTGGCCGTGGTCACCGAGAGGGAATCAGTTGCTGGCTGTGCTGTAATTCAAGCAGGATAAGAGCTGATGAACCTCCTACGATAGTGAGAACCTACCTGGTGGAGGAAGGACGTTTTGTAGTGATGACGGCATTGAAGGAAGTGCTAGAGGGAGCCATGGCGGCAGTGACGGTCGAAGTCCTTGCAACAATGGCACACATAACGGGAATTGTCCTAGTCGTTCCATAGTAAGAAATTCGTCAGGAGCACTCCACGAAGAAATCAGCGATCCGTCACGATTCTGCAGCACGGATCATTAGTCAAAACAGAATTTCAGAAGAAAAAACCCTCGGGGTCGCGAAAGTGAAAGACATCAAAGGTACTACTAGTACTGGTAATAGACAAACAATTGACAGCAGCAAAGAGTATGGGAACGCCTATGGTGTCGCCTGCCATTCAGAGAGGCGTTGAGATTTAGAGGGTCGCTATGAGTGATGGCCTCTTCGTCACCCTATATATTTCAGCGATAGCTGTCAATAGGCCACCCGCTTCAGGACGAGGCGACTGAACACTTCGGATGAGTCCCCGAGGAGTCACCCGCGATACGCTGGCGCATTTCCCAACACGCCTCAAAACAATGTCGACGGCGCATCAAGCGCCACTGGAAGCACGGCGCAGGGTGTTACAAAGCCGAAAGCATCCCACGCCTGCTATTGGGTCCCATTCGTCGGTGAAAAGCGGCAGCAGGTGAATTCTGGTTTGCGCCGTGCGCTCAGAAGCCGTCGAGCTTCTGGGAAGGTGTATCAACTCTCCCAAAGCCACGAACAAGGGTAAGGAGTGCTATTGCAAGTCATGGCCTTCGCTGGCCCCAGCATCTTCTGACACCACAAGGAACGCGGATATTGGGTATAGCTCATCAAAATCCAATGGTAGGCATAAGGCAGGCAATAGAAGGGGAGTGTGGAGGTTCTGGTGGTGCGGAGATGGTGTGCGGAGGCAAGCGCCTGAGAGGTGTGACTGTGTATGCGGCTCGGAAGGGGAGTTGAAGATGGAGTCACGTGCGTGACAATCGCGTCAGGACCCAAGGACAAGGGCTAGGGATCAAGTCCCTCGCCCTTGGGTGGATAAGGACAAAAGATAAAATCTTCGATGTTGATAAACCGTCTTATGGGATGCGGCATTCTACTTCCATTCAGAATCGTAGTGGCTTATTGAATGCGATGTGGCCTATACAATGACTTGCGGGGCCAGCCGATGTACAAGTCAGTGTTATCCTCCCAGACGAATCTGGTACCAATTTACCGTCCCCGGAGGATAGAAGGCTTGGTTGGCCTGGGCGAAAGTCGACCGGGATTTGAACCTAGGCTGCGCGAGTTGTAAGTGCGCCACTTGTCACTACACACTTACACCTCGTCAAGTCCATTAGGTGGAAATACTCTGCTTGTTTCGCGCGACGCCGCTGCTCGGATGTCCTGGACTACACCTCGGTCAAATCATTGTAGGAACTTCCGCAAACCTTCCACAGCTTATTTCCTGAGTTCGAGTTCTCACCTTCCACGCCCAGAAGGAAATCCTAGAGAACGTCATGAATATAAGGTAAGATCCCTAGTCATTCAGAAATGAAACAGCACAGAAGCCTTCGGCTGGATCCCGGTCAGGAGTCAATCCACTTCACAGGTGGGAAGCTCTCTCCCAAGCTAAACGCCTGTCGGAGCTTCAGCGTGATCCCAAGGACCTCCGCCTAAGTCCATCTCTAAGGGCTCCATTTGTAGCAAAAGGCAAAAAAGGTCGTGAAGAGAAGTCAGAAGCCCCATCTAGAGCACTCAGTTGGCATCAGAAGCCATTCCGATTCATCGACGAACTTAACCCTTTGACTATGGCAGGTCCCAATTGCTGCTTTGAGGGTGTCCCTTCTTCCGTCAGCACATCTAAGCCGTCATGTCACGCCCTCGTTGATTTTCAACGAAGCACATCGTGCGGAGCATATAATTAAACAGCAGATTTCTGAATTCAAATGTTCCATGACCGGTGAATTGATGCAGTGACAAAATAATGATGGTCCTGCTCTTAACTCTGAGCTTTCATTAACTCGCGATGGGAACAGCCTCCAGCGACGCGAATGTGCTTGCTGTTGGACAAGACGAAAAACTATGGAGGGCTCTGAGCCAAAAGATTTGCAAAAGCAGGGATAGAGTTTCGAAGTAGTGAGGTTGTAGTGAGGTGTATGTGTATAGAGGAAAGCCAGATGGTCGGG